GGCCCGGCGGTCCCACCGACAGAAGCAAGACTCGCGACCTCTCGCTTCCATCCAGGTCCAGGCGACCCGCAAAGACGAGCGAGCTCGCCCTGATTCCCGGCCTGGGCGGCAGCATTACCGCCAGTCCCAAGGCCAAGTGCAATCTCAAGCACGAGGAGACGTTGACGGAGGCGGTCAACCTCAGGGTCCCGTGTCGGACCCGCAGTCGGAGCACTCGAACGAGAGTGGCTCTCGGGAGGCGCCGAGTACTCGTACTCGTACGAGGGCACCTCCGCCCCTGCTTGACCGGAATGGAGAAGTCCACTTCCACGTGGAGCGGATCCTCCAGGAGCAACGGTGTCGCGGGAAGCGACAGCTCCTCGTGAAGTGGAGGGGTTATGCCCACTCCGAGAACTCGTGGGAGCCGATTGAACGGCTCCTGATTGACTGCCCGAAGGCTGTCGCAATCTGGGAACAGAAGCGGCGGCAGCTTCATAAGTAGTCCGGGGCTTCTTGCCCGAACGGGGTACGGATGATGAATACATACCGTACCCGCGCTCATCGTGAGCGCTAGAAGCCGCGCGCTTCAGGATGTCCCTTGGCAGCATACGCTTGCTGATCAAGTGGGCAAACCTCACACGAAGATCACGCTGGTCCAGGATGTGGGACAGCTGCTGATCTTCATGGAGTTCCCATAACTCCGTGGGCGAGTACTTGAGAGTCTCCACCCACGCCCAGAACATGTCCTCACAAGAACTCCATGTGGGACAGTTCTCGGGCATAACCCAGGGGTATCCCCAAACAGGATAGAGACCACCCCGGGTCTCGGGCTTCTTACGACAAGTCGTGAAGTCCTTAAGGGGAATGCGGTGTGGCGCGAGAAGCACACACCGAGCAGCCTCCACGTTGTCGACGAACAACTGTTCTTTCTGAACAAGGGCTCGTTCATAGATGCCCCTAGAAGTGTGGCCGCCCACAAGGCCACGAGGAGCGACGAGAAGCTCTAAGAAGAGGTCAGCCCCAGAGCTCTCCTCGGGAGGCCAATACCCTCTTGAGTTGATGGCAGCTCCCTGGCTGACGGGTGCCGCCACCGAACCCCCACGCACACGCTGGGCAGCTTGGAAATCCTCCTGCTGCTGGTCGAGGTCATTCGAGACCTCCCGGGGCTCAACAATGGCACCCTCCTCTTCCTCTTCTTCCTCCTTCTCCTCCTCTTCATCCGAGGAGCCGAAGAGACTCTGATAGGAGCGTCGAGTCTCCTTCTCCTCGCGGAGTGGAGACTTAGAGGCGGTACGCTTCTTTGAGGGCTTGGCGCCTTCGGCTTTAGAGGCCTTAGCGCGCGCAAGACCCTCGGCAAGCGAGAGACGTTTGCGAGGACTCCCTTCCTCATCGCCACCGGCTTTGGGAGTGCCCTTAGCCTTAACGGCCGGACTCTCAGAGCGCACAGAGGTCCTGGGACTGTGATCACCGTGATCACTAGCGGACGACTGCACGCTGTCTTCTTTGTGCTCACTGGGCACTG